TCTTACATGTAACAATATTCTGAAGTTTATAGTCCTCAATGCTGTGTACCTTGTAGCGGCTTCCTTTTTTTGAGAAATAATAGAAACAAAGAGTTTCCAAAGAATATTGAGCTGTGAGCTGAATTTTGCCAAGCTTTCAGCCTTGCGGTTCACTTCCGATATCAGCCAACCGGTTATCACGTTAGACGTGAGAGTGCTAATAAATACCTCCCTTTCAAAAAACGAGAAAAGCGTCGGGTGCAGACCATACACCACAAGTGACGACGGCCTCCAAGTAAATCTGGTTAGTAGTGGTTCATAGTGATAGCTGATTTTTGGTAAATGATAGTTGTAATTAGTGACAACTGATAGAATACAACTGCAACAGGCTAATCATTTCATTGGCAGAAAACATTTACATTTTGTGGAGGCCGTCGTCACTTGTGGTGTATGGTCTACCCGAATTAGTGCCGACGGTGATGTACCCTCGCCTTCAAATGACCAGAAATTGTGCAATTGCAGAAATTGACGTGGCATTGGCACACGTGGCTAAATTCTCGATGAAAAGGTGACATCACGTGTGCTCAAAGATGTTCTTGAATCGATGCCACGTTAATGCCACGTCAATTTCTGCAATTGCACAATTTCTGGTCATTTGAAGGCGAGGGTAACGGTAACAGCACATCCCCAAAGTTTGGGTCATATTCCGTTCGGTGGAAAAGCTTTGCCCGATAACTCGTCCAGTTCTTATGAAACATTTGCAACACGAGCTGTGGCGGTGAACAGCAAGAACAAAGAAAAACCACATAGAAACAGAAAGGCTTCACCTCCTTTGGTTTTCGTTCGATGGGCACAATGTGTGGTTAGAAACGGCCAATCACACAGTCATTGCTACCGGGATCAGTTTCCCTACCCGCTCAGCTATGCATTTACCTAATTTTGTCAAAAGAAGGAGAAAAACAAGAACTTTATAGCGAATCTGTTTGCATGGAGAAATTCCTAGAATGAACGTTAACCTTAAAGGCAGCGATTACGATAATATTGAGTGCCATCACTGAGGTGCTAACTTAGTTGGGGGGGGGCCACGCGGCGGCGCGGCAGTCTGCTCGTCTGGCATGTTCGGAAATCCGTGGGCCAGGGGAGTGTAGCCAGCCTAGGGGGGGGGGGGGGGGGGGGGGGGGGGGTGGGGGGGGGGGGGGGGGGGGGGGGGGGGTGGGGGCAGTCACTTGACATGCGTGAAAAGCTGGAATGTTCGAGTTTACACTGTCTCGCTCGAGAGAGCCCAGGTGAGCAGACTGCCGCGCCGCCGCGTGCCCCCCCCCCCAACTAAGTTAGCACCCGAAGTATATACTACACAAACGAATTGGTTAAACTGGCTGTCAGGGATGCGAGGTGTAGCGCTTTCGCGACGCTAGGTTCGCTGGTTGCTGAGCAGGACTCCGAAAGCGCTCCGCCCACTGGTTTAGCTGCTGATTTGGACGAGCTGCGTTGCCAGCACCGGCACAACTGAAGCAACTCGACTGTAGCATGGATTGGCATGCTGCAGTCGAGTTGCGATGCGATGCACTAAATGCGTTGCGCTGAACTCGTTCATATGTCCGCTTTCTGAGCTGTTACCTGTTCATGAATGAAAACTAGCGGCCAAAAAAGGTGGTCCCGTTTTGCCTATTCCCGACGGATTTTTCTGCTTTTTTTCGCTTCTAATGTCCCACTTACACCACCCGTCACACTCGTAATAACTTCGTATAGCATACATTATACGGAGTCTTAAGCCGTAAGCAATCGCTAGGCAGAAATATCATCTTGAGCACGTGTACCAGCCCACGCCAAAAAGATTTAGGCTCACACATACCATAACCACCGTCCTTAGTTGCTACGATTGACGTAGGCAGTGATCGTGAATAATCTTCTTTTCTTTTCGGCTTCCTAAGTAATTTTTATTCGTACTTTCGTGTTCCGCCACTTTTTGATGTTGTCACTGAACGAAGGCCGTGCCACTTTATCCCTTTTCACTTCTTGTCTTCGAAACACATTTATTTTATTTTATTGTTTCTTGGCGCTTGGCACATCTGGGAGTGCAAGAAACAAGAGGGAACTCGAATGCACGGCGCGAGCGCTGAGATTGATCTGTGCCGATTTTGCTATCACTAACCTTAATGACCCTGTGAATAGCATAGTGGAATTCCACGCTTGTGTGGTTAACTATAATATTTCATGTTTCATTTAGTATGAAAGCATGTGATGCGACAGTTGCTGTCGCCTAAATACAAAAATCCAATAACTCCAATTTTCGCAGGGAAGGGGTGGGGAGGGGGGGGGGGGTGAAATCCTCGCCCGTGAGTCCAATTTCGCTTACCGTTTTTAAACCCCCATTCTCCGGAGCTGTTCCTCTCTGCGAAAATTGAGTTACTATCGCATTGTTCAGTGTCTCCATCAGTCTCATCAAAACATGCCTACCCCCATCCTTGACTATGGTAGATGAAACCCCCATGTTGTGAAGATACTAACAGCATGGCAGTATAATCCGCTAATACAGCAATACTAATACCGTAATCTTGACTTTTGCAGATCTTTGTGGATTTTATATGAAGTCATGGTCGTAACTGGACGCTCGTCCCAACCATCTGCACCACCACCACTGCCCCTGCAAAGCCTACTGCTAATGACAGTAACGACGGAGAATGTAAGTAATTTTGAAATATTAATAAGAATGTGGGTTGTATAATCCGAAATATAAACTATACAAAAAATATAAGTACAGCAGGATATCGAATAAGTTATAGGCGGACTTTCTCAGTGGGAGGGAGCATTGCCCGCGCATGAGGGGTTTGACCTCCGTGATCCATTTTACTGCGAACGTTATTATAGAGTTACAGAATTGGCTAAGGCCGCGTTCATAGTTCGCGACTCGGGAGATTAGGATAGTAGGCGATAGGATATAGGATAGTAGTAGAGTAGGAGATTGCGCTGACAAGATTGGATACGTATCGATTGAAATCGCTGGAGAGTAGTAGATTGGGCGACTTCAAGCGAATAGATTTAAAGGAAGCAGTCACGATAATTTTCATGGCAACGATAAGGAAAGCTATGTATTGGAGTGGATAGAGGTCCTGCCCAATGTTAGAACACGTAAAGTTTCAGTGGCAGTGGCGCCCTTATCAATGAAGTGATAAGGAGCCGAAATTCACTCAAGTTCAGCAAAAACCAAGACTTATCGATGTGGAAAGGGGTGCGATAAGAGCGTGCTAGATATGATACCGTTATCGTTATCGTCCCGTTTTCATTCTGGAGTGCACCTCTTATCAAGCAGCCGCACCTTCTTATCTCATCGTATCATATCTTCCATGGGCTCGTCCAACAATTACTGCCGGTGACTGCTTCCTTTAAAGGAAGCGATCACGCTGGCTTCCACGCTGGATTTGCTACCCTCGCGTTATCAATCGATAAGGTGTGAGGCAGTAATTGTTGGACGAGTGTAAGCCCATGGAAGATATGATACGATGAGATAAGAAGGTGCGGCTGCTTGATAAGAGGTGCACTCCAGAATGAAAACGGGACGATAACGATAACGGTATCATATCTAGCACGCTCTTATCGCACCCCCTTTCCACATCGATAAGTCTTGGGTTTTGCTGAACTTGAGTGAATTTCGGCTCCTTATCACTTCATTGATAAGGGGCCACTGCCACTGAAACTTTACGTGTTCTAACATTGGGCAGGACCTCTATCCACTCCAATACATAGCTTTCCTTATCGTTGCCATGAAAATTATCGTGAACCGACTTCCTTAATACATATCTGTCTGCGCACCTATCCTAATCTCGCTAACTCTACCACTATCCTACTGATCGTAATGAGGCGTATTCCTACTACTCTCCGCCGATTTTCCAATCTCGCGTACTACAAATATCTTCGTATCGCAATATCGTCTACACCACTCTCCAGCGATTTCAATCGATACGTATCTAATCTTGTCAGCGCAATCTCCTACTCTACTACTATCCTAATCTACTACTATCCTAATCTCCCCGTCAATACATATGTTTTTGTCGCGTACTATCCTAATCTCCGGAGTCGCGAACTATGAACGCGGCCTAAGAGCTTCATTCCAACGCCATTTCTTTCGGATTTTTGTAAGTTATACAGACTTTTTATCTGGATGATATACACTTGAAGAAATATCCACATAATGTGCAGCTAGGACTAACCATAAGTCTAAGAGAGGGGAGGTGAGAACCTGAGGGTCTAATCCAGTAAGGGGGCATTACGGTTTAGAGCGCACCACGCTTTTGTAACCGCGGAAACCATTTTCTTCGAACGTAAACGTTTAGGAGTAAGCCTTGGAACGGTAAGGTAGTAGATCCCCAGCTGCATTTTTCGTTCTACCTGCGTGGGCGAACCCACTGTAGTCACTCCTCCTTCTAGGCTTAGTCCTAGCGGCTCTTGAGATAATATTATGTTTCCCAGTCTTTTATGTCATCCCGCAAAAGAGCTTCACATTATATGAAAATTTGAAGCAATAACAGTTCTAAAGCTGATAACAATTCGTAACTTTAAAGGACTCCTTGAGCCAAGTTGGCACTAGAGCACCACTGCGCCCCTGCACCGCAAGTCCCCTCCCCCTCCCCTTTGTGGAGCAGGCCCGTTGTACTGAATAGAAATCGTAAGCGATTCTCTTGCGATCAACATGAAATTTTACAATTTTTGGTCGTTGAGCAATCGCCTCGAATATTTTACTAATCAATAGCCGATCGATCAAGTGCGATAAAATGAATCACGTGCTAGCCCTCGCCAATCTGAATCAGCCGCTACGCTGATTAAAATGATTCGAAGAAATCGGCCAGAGAACTGACAAATAGCACCAGAACAGCGGAGTGCGCAGAAATCGATTTAGCGCCCTCGTGCCACCCCCGTGCAGAAACCCGGGTGCCCTCACCACGCGACATTCCCATTCTTGGGCGATGACCATTTTTCGGCTAAATCAATCAATTACTGATTAAAAGCCTCTGTACAGTTTCAATATGCCAAAATCAGGTTTGTTGGACTTTTAATTTGGCGCGATTTTTCAGCGAATTATCTGGTGTTCTGTTTCTTGTTCTGATATCCTAAAGGCTTCACCGTGACATTGATTTTTGCTGTTTTAAAATTACCCAAAGCTTTCAATAAAAGTGGTAACATAAGATGTGCTTTTATGGTCAATTTTGGTTGATTCTGAATTAAAAAGGCGAAAACTGGGAGGTTGGTAAAGTCTTTTAAAATGATGACAGTCATTTTTAAGATGGACTGGTCTTTTCAGATCGCTCGGCTATCTTTTAAATTTGTAGTTTATTATTCTTATTCGTATTTGTGTTTCATTTGTACTTTTTTGTCAGTTTCGCGTGACCACTAAGATTTTTAATTAAGCGGCTTGGGAGATTTCTTCATGTACATTGTTTCAGTTCGCGAATGCCAATCCTGCATTAGAACTCAACATCGGTGGTTTAGTGTCAGGTTGCGCCGTTTACCGCGCGCAGGGTTCGGGGATCAAATCATGGATTGCAGGCCGTCCAGGTAAACCAAGCTTTTTGCTCCATACCTCTAGGGTCGGATAAATGGGGGACTTGTTGGGGAGATAAAAACATTTCCTTTGCATTGATTTACCCCCTTGAGTCATTGTGTGGACTAAACAACATCCAAAGCATATTTTCAACCGTCCGTTCGAACGGTTCGAACGGGGGGGGGGTCGCATTTGTGTTCTGGGAGGGGAGAGGGGTCGCATTGCGCAGTTCTGCTGGTTACGTTTGGTCATCAGGGGCGCAGGGCATAGGTGCGTGCGAAAAAAGTTGCCGTTTCACTGGTTGTATATACCCCCCCCTCGACGGCTATTTTTGGGGAAAAAGTGGGTGGAGTTTCGGAGTTTTAGGTAGGTTTTGGGCTGTGTCAACTGGTCTCAGAATCAAATACTATAGAAGAGGGAGAGGTCGCGGTGGGGAAGGCTGGTTGTATTGGGGGGTCGCAACTGTGTGTTGGGGGGGTCGCAACTGGACCCCCTCGAGAGGGGGGGGTCGCAAAAATCCCGAAAATGTTCGAACATGACGGTTGACGTCCTGATCCAAAGGCGAATTGGTATAAATGGAAGTGAGTGCATGGCGCATCCCAAGAAAGATTTGATTACCGCCGAATTGTCCAAATAGATTTTATAGGAGCATGGCAAATGAAACCAACCTGTTTTGATATACTGTTCACCTTACCATTTTATTACGATTTTTTCTAATCATCAGTCAATATCTGTTTGTCTTTGAACAGGGAAACGTAGTTTTTCACATGCAACACACTGTTGATCTGCCGCGTCTTGTAAAACCGACCCGTTAGCTATTTTAATAATAGTCAGTGTTTCGTGTTGAGACCGGGACGCTCCTCCGTACAAAGGGATGGATTTCCCTACTTTTTTTCAAGTAATTTATTTTGCGGAAGAATATTCAAAAACGAAAAAATCAAACATTTTGTTGACTCAAGAATTAACCTTACTCATTTGAAGCACAATCAAGTGGCTCGTACTAGTTAGACCAAGTAGGTAACCCAGCACGTTTTATTAGCCTACTTTGAAACGGGAGATTTGCAGTTTTTTAGTGGTTACTCACGATGAATAATTTGTGCAGTGCAGTTCAAAAAAGAGCCATCTTATTGAGAGGTCATTGCTTCAAAAACTCCCCTTTCATCTTCTCAGGTTGCGCTATGCATTCAGTTGTCGGGACTATACAATGAATCAGGCATGAAGTGTTGGGGTTTTGAAAGCCCCATGGATAAGTAAAAAGTTGTTTCCTAACTCATAAAAAAGAAACGACAGAAGAAGTCGAGTCTTTTCGCCCATGTGGTCTTCAAGTTGAAACTCTAAAACTTTCTGACCAACATGGTTCAAAGTTATCTATCGACCTCGGGAGAATAGAAAGTTGTTAGTTCGGGAGGTGAATTCGATTTTTCAACATTTGCCCTCACCCGGTTATTATACTCATGAAAGGGCGACTGGAAGCTTCCGCTTACTAGCGCAGATCTGCCGAGGAACCTCATCAGCTGGTGTTATTTTATTTATTTATTATATTCCGTAATAGAATTGGTGGCGAACGAATTACTCACCACCTTTATTATATGTTTTACTTATCGTAGGACTTCAAGTCATTACTTCACTTTTGCTTCGTGCTTCACTTCACATGCTTATCACCACAAAAGTTTATATCAGAAGTTCGTAATACATTGTGTAATACATTCCCAATGTATTATCATAGATGAGAGATATGAGCAACTAATAAAAAAGCTGAACAATTTGTACACAGCAATAATTATTGTATTCACATCTTTTGACTTCATTTCGTTTATACTTATAAGAGATGTTTTCCAGATACCGCATTCTCGGTGTCAGCGGCGAAAGCCTTTTTCGAAGCGGCTAAGAAACCTGAAGTGCGTGCGGCTGCCGTGGCGGCAGCAAAAAACCCATTTGTTCGCAGTGTCGCCAAATCGGCTGCCACAAATCCAGAAACAAGGAGTCAACTGATTGCAGCTTTGGAAAGGCAGTACGGCGCCAAAAGTCCTGACGCTAAGTAAGTGATTTTTTCACAGACTTTCTAGTCTAACCATAAGTAAAGCGGCTCAATATAGGACAAGAAATCGTGAAACAACTGGGAGAGATTCCGAAACCAAGGGCTTTCTTAGCGTTTTCAAGGGGTGGCATGTAGAACGACATACTAGGGATCAGGGGTCTATTCCAGTTAGGGGGGGGGGCATCATGGTGCGGTGACTCCCAAAAAGCTACGGTAACTCTGAGCCAGGGGAGTGTAGCCAGCCTAGGGGGGTGGGGGTGAGGGCAGTCACTTGACATGCGTGAGAAGCTGGAATGTTCGAGTTTACATTAGCTCGCCGAGAAACTGCATCATGATGTCCCCCCCCCTAACTGGAATAGACCGGAATAACTGTCATTTTCTGCGTTTGCATTTTGTTCTGCTTTTTTGATAATTTACCGGGTAATCAAAAATCGGCGTCACGGACCCTTTTCCTAATTCGATGAATTGCCGTGAAAAAAAAAATGATTCTTGCTAGTTATTTTTTGCAAAATTATTCGATAGTTAGGCAGTCAGAGGACTGTAAACCCAGCGATTTGATCCATCCAAGCGACTTGCTAGCAGATACAGAGAAGCGCTGTCCTATCATTCTGGGGCTTTACAGTTATCCTTCTCATTGTTTCCGTTCATATCAGAAGCGCAACAGTAGTTGACAGCATTGTTTTTATTTTTTGTTTGTTTACACTTACCCTTTTTTCGTTTTTCCTTTCTATCGAGGTGAGCAGGAATCGCTTGTTGAGTTGGCCCTTTCAGGCCGATGTCAGACTGCGAACCGCGCGATTCGCAAAGTGTGACATCGGCCTCAAGGTTGTTGCAGTTTCGAGTCCCTAATATTTCATTCGTATAACTTCGTATATGATAGTCGCACCGAATGTCTGCACCATCCAGAGGATCCTCAAAGCGGCTAATCGTGTGTTGGTAGAATGTACCGCGCAATAGACTCACCCATCTTCAGACCAGGCACCCCATCTGCCAAACAAAAGCATGATGCTCCCCGCCGCCCACCACCACCACCTCATCGTGCTCCCTCCGGTCACTCTACGACGTCAACCACTTATTCATCGTCGAGCTACACACCTTACACACCTGCACCGCCAAGTACTTCGGATTACTCAAAGCCGCTGCCGTCGATGCCATCTACAAGTTCATACCGGGCTCCTGCACCTTCGAACGGGGCCGTCTATCCCATCGTTGGTGAATGAGCTACAAGAGTTGCAACTGAACTCGCAAGGTAATTAGGAAGTTATTGATTAGGTATAAAACGACAGAAACTTTGAGCCCTCGAAGCTCACCCTATTATTCAATATTCCTTTATTGATTCACTTATTCATTTATTCATTATTCATTCACTACCATTATGGTGTTGCGTGATGCACCGTGTTGGAAATGTAGAATTCTCAGTGTGTGAAGTTTGCATGTTTTGTTTGAATAAGTGAAAGTATGAAGTGTTGTGGTTGTATTTAGGTGCTAGGAAGCCTGCACCTTTTAAATCGCCACCACCTATACCTGCTTCCAACAGAGTTTCAAGTAAGTTTTCTGATCGCTTTCTTTTCTGCATGGGTCGACATAGTTTGCCTTGGTTATAGCCATGTTAGTCATCCATTTCTTTAGAACTTGCAGCCAGTGTGCGCGTTGAGCACTCGTATAGGATGTAGCCATGTGTCACTCCGCCTTTTCAAGTACCTTTGCAATCTCAATAAGTTTTTGATTCACTACAAAAATAGCACTTCATTTTTGGTCAAGCTCCTTTCTGATAACGTACGGTCGCGGCTAAGTTGTACTGCTAACACGCCATGGATGCAAGTTCAGAAGGAGTAGGTGCAAAATTGCCGATTTCTATGTTGTTTGTGTTTGCGAAGCACATCTTCTAACTTCTGTGCGTGTGTGCACCCCAGGGTCAACCATCACGTCAGGCTTATTTCTTCAGTGCCAACCCTGTCTTAAAACACCAATGTCGATCGATCGAAGTCGTATTAGCATCTGCAACGGCAACAGTTACACGATTTCAGAATTTTTTCTGAAGATTTCCCCACTTCTTATAGAATTTTCTTTCTCAGTGCCTCCAAAGTGTACAGTGCCCATTTCACCAAAAACGACCCCCGACTAAGTAGGCCGAACGAATGGTCGACCCTGGTGGCCAGTCCGCTTTGGCACTTCATTTTTCTAAGTAGTATTTTGAGTTCAGAAATAGAGAGGTAATGGTAGAGGCATCGAGAATCTACGACATGGAATACGGAATGTTTTCTTCCTGATGCTGTTCTCATCTGCTAGATTCTGCTTAGCAAATAATGTTTTCCATTTTAATATCAGATTCTGTACCTCCTCCTCGTCCGCCACCTCCAAAATTGTCGCCAGGAACTACTTCCGGTACTGAACCACGATTTTTGTTATTTTCATTTTTGTTTTTTCCTACCACTTTTCAATTTTATTTAGCGCACACTATAGCTTCATGTTAGTTCCTTTTGTTTTAGTCGCACGTAATCTTTTTTCGTTAGTAGATGGAATGTTGTGTGGTGAAGGGCATCAGTTAATCGTTGAGCAGCCACTTTAAACAATTACATTGCGATGAGGGAAACATATAGATTTTGGATTCAATACGAAATTCATTACACTGCATTTAAAGTCGGGCATGTCCATTTGTGCACTGTGATCAGATTACATATGAGATGTGTCGGGCCGAACCGTAATCTGGCACCCCCGTCAACCGAATTTTCGTCCTCACCACTATCGCCCGCTAAAAGTTAAAAGGTGTGAGTTCATAACCATATGGATCTTGAGATCATTAATTTTTGCCACTATTTTTTTTTCCGCAATTGGGTACCTGCAAGCCAAAACCTTCACAAAAACACTGCTTCCTGAAACACTATTCAAAATATATTGGGAGCGTTTCTCCGCTCTTTTCTTCGTAGGCAATCAGCAATATGATAAAAGTACTTTGCTGACAAAGTTGTTCCGTGTTGTAGATGTTTCCTCGTCACAACCTCATGCCATCGTCAAATATTCGTTCAACGGCTCTCCCACCAAGACGAATTATCGTGTGCTGCGGGCGATGTCGTAATACTCAAGCCGATGTCTGACACATGGCGTTTACCGTACTATTTGTTCTTTCGCCGTTCCTTGAAACCCAGGTTTAAACTGTCGCATCCTAGAACTCAATCTTAGGCCGGTGTCAGACTTTGCGAATCGAGCAATTCGCTAGCAACTCGAGCGAACCGCTTGATTCGTAGTCTGACACCGGCCTTATGAAGAGAAGATGGTGCCATCTCCATCTCGGTTTGATTTCAGGAATGAACAATCGTACTGGAGCTTTCGGAATTATTCCTGTATCTTTTCTGGATATACGGGTGCCACTTGACATCGGGATCTTCATCTCGTGGTGTTGTCGCTACAGCTATTTACGACTATGACTCGAACACACCCGGAGATCTTGCGGTATGTCCTGCCGACAGTTTTATCCTAGTTATTTCCTTTCGACTTTTTTGTACATCGTTCCTTATAGTGGTGTGCTAAAGTCATGCTGCACTACTATATGTACATTGACTACGAAGTGCTGTAGGGGCTGAACAGCAGTGGTGATAAATAGAATAATATTGTAGAGTGATGTTGTAGAAATAGAGCAAATAGAGCGTTTCCTGAGAAATAAAAGGTCCGAGTTGTTCGAAGCGTCATTGCCCTTTTTGGGTTGCGCCTTGTATTCACATACTGGCATCTAAATACGACTGGTCTCAATACGATAGCTCCTTCATTAAACTCATCCTGGCATCTGAACACAAGCTAAGCTGCAAGTCGGTGTTCTTATCATCGCAGACGAGTGCTTAATAGTTGGGGAATTATTGCTGGTTGGCCTATGCGGGATTTGGGGTACGAATCTGACATGCGATGCGGTTGGCGAACGGAGCGACTCGCATCTATACAATCTGCCTCGGTTTACTCGCGGGTAAGCTACAAAGTCACCAATTACAATGAATAAGAAGAGTATGCTGGATAATGAGGTAGGTTTTAAACCTGTGTGGAGTGCACTGAAATGTTTCCGCTCGAACCGTTGCATAAGTTTTGACCCAGTGTTTGGGAGATGCAACACTTCAAGTAAAGCTTCCTACTTTCTTCATTATCTGCTAGTACTTTGCTAATTCTGTCCCCCACAACGCAATCTTATGCTACGTCCATCCATTATAGTTTCGTACGCACGACCAAATCACGGCCATCGAAAGAGTTGGTCAAGATTGGTTACGTGGTCAACTCCATGGTCGAGAGGGCATCTTCCCAGCCAACTTTGTCTCATGTCCCGACATTGACAGTCTACCAATGACTCAACCGGCCGCGCAAGCTGCCCCTCTCGAAAAGATGACAGCAGCGTTTGACTACGCTTCAGGCGTCGCAGGCGATTTGGAGTTCAAAGCTGGTGAGTCCACCTGATCGCTGGTTCATTTCTGGAAATCTAAAATGGTATTCTACCTTCAGGTGACACAATAGAGGTGGTTACTCGACTGGATCAAGATTGGATTCGCGGCCGAGTGAATGGTCGAGAAGGTTTGGCCCCTCTGACTTTCCTGGCTCCTTTTGGGACTCCGGTGAAGAGTCCCAAGTCGCGAGGAATTGCCTCTATCGCTTCTCTAGGAGGCACTGGACGGGTGAGTGAATCGACGTGCTTTTCACGTGTCTTCTGGAACATTTCACAAGATCGGGCTTTTCCAGACTGCTACCGCAATTGCTGATCATTGCTCGGATGACCCGAAAATGTTATACTTTTCTAAGGGAGACCGAATACTCATCGTTGAGGACGTAAGTTGATGGAATCGCTCCGCGTCACTTCTGTTGTACGATGCCATTATTTAGGTGGACAGCTACTGGTATCGTGGAAAAGTTGAAGGTTTCAAGACATTACCGCCTGGATTGTTCCCAAAAGCGCTTGTTAAGGAGGATTAGGCACATGAGATCGCTACACGCCATGGTATCTCCCAGTGATTTTACCTACAAAAGGAAGAACTAGTCGAAAAAAGACGCAATCACTCTTCATTTGATTTTGTAGCTTTTACTCCACATTGAGATGTCGCTTATAATGCTTGAATGGTGCTCAGGTAATCCTAACCTTTCCTGTGAAATGATAAAGTCAGAGCCATATGGCAGCCTAGAATCCCTTTTGTGTCGTCTGCTATGCCCGTCTACGCTGTTGTGATCATTCAAACAGGGAAACCTTTATCTGCTCTGATAATGCGCAATAGAGAATTAAAAAAAAGAATTTTGGGGTTGATTTTTGTTAACAAGTTTTGCGAAAACTGACTCAGCAATTATGTATGCAATCCACTTCACAAGGTAGGTGCGCCTTAAAGTTGCAACTCGTTCTGCAGCTGTTTCGCAACCGCACGCGCTAGTTATCGTCAAATTGCACAACGCGTGACGGTGTGATATTAAATGTTTGAATGTCTACACTTATGCAATCAAGGTTGTGATATTGCCTCTCACATTCATTCGCTTCATTACTTCTTACACTACGAGTAGACCATTTCAAGAAACGCTGGAATGTAAAATCAAATATCAGAGAGAAATCTATTGAATAAAGATTGTCTTATTTGTAATCTGGAAACATTTCATCAGAATGACGGGACTATTGGAAGTTGTTTTGTCCCACATCCATACCAGAGTTACCAGTCCATACTCAAGTTAAGTCGCGCATGGCCAAACC